TGACCGGTTTCGATTACGTCTTCGTCAGAAATACATGATATCTTCACAATACAAGAGATGTATTTGACCGGTTTCGATTACGTCTTCGTTAGAAATAAATGTATTCCTGACGATGACGTAATCGAAACCGGTTAAATGCATCTCTTGTATTGTGAAGATATCCAGTCTCATTCATGCCTTTTCCACATTTGTCATCATGGATGCGGTTCGTAGCTCACCAAGATTACTCGTTTTGTCTTATGGCTATCCGATCCAGGCCATTAGGGGGCAAGTACGTATTAAATAGCTGATTAACTTCCTGACTCATTACCCGAATTCTGTACCAATTAAGTGGTCGGTAGCCGTGATTAGTGTACAATACATCAGAGAATAACCATGATAATTATAGGAATAATTATGATAATGATTATGAAGATAATGATAATGATAATGCTACAGATATTGTTATCAAAACAACGACAATGATAATAGCAATAATAACAATAACAATGATAATGATATTGATAATAGTAATAGTGATTGTAGATGCAATGAAAATAACAATATCAATAATGATTATTGATATAATAACGGTAATGATAAAAAAATATGGTAACAATAATGTTAATAATAACGATAAAGGTAAATATTATAATAGCAACAAGAATGATAACAATGACGGCGACAATAATTATAACATCGTAATGATAATGAAAAGGTCAAGAGCAGTAATGATAATGATGGAAGTAATGACAATGATAATTGTGATAATAATGATATCGATATCGATAACAACAGTAGTAATAGTGAAATGATAGCTGATGATGATAATAATAGTAATAGTAATTATGATAATGACCATACTGGAAATCATAATGCTAATGAAAAAGATATTAGCAAAGTACTAATGATGATGATGATAGTAGTAATAATTAATGGCAATAATGATAATGATAACAACATAAAGATAATAAACAGAAATTGCGTCAAAAGAATAATTATGATCATGATGATAACGATGATAGTAATCATAATAATGACAACAGCAATAGCCATGATAATATTAATGATGGTAATAACGTCCGTATTGATATGGATAATAGTAATAATGATAATGATAACAATGACAATGATGATACTAACACTAATACTAATGATAATTGTAATAATGACGTTAATAACAGCAATGATGATAGTAACAAAAGCAATGAAAATGCTGATGAAAATGTTGATGAAAATGTTGCAGGTGGCAATGATAATAAAAGTAATAAAGGTAATGATAACACTGGAGATAACAGCTAGAAAATAATAAGTATAACAACCATAATGATTGTAATAATAATGATAATGATAATATTAATGATGACAATGGTAATGATGGCAATAATGATAATGACAATGGTGATAATAACGATTATCATTAGTTATTGTTGCTGTTATTATTATTAAGTAGTAATAGTGTTACCATTATTTCTATTATTTTCACAGTTGATATTACTATCATTATTTTGCTAGTATCATAATAATCATTATTATTATCATTATTATTATTGTCATTGTTATTATCATTATTATTCGCATTAGTATAGTTTAGTATTATCATTATTATCATTCCATATTCATTATTATCATTATTCTGCATATCATTATCATTATCATCCTCACCACCATCGTTATCATTATCATTAATAGTAATAGTACAAGCATAACAATGAAAGTCACTATACCCAGAACCTCAACAATGAATTTGATAATGTCAATATTACCTTCATATAATTTTCCCGTCTGTTCTTCTATCCCATTCTTTAATACACGAAATTTGTCCGAGGTTGAAAAAAACTTTCATTGCGACAAATGCAAAAAAAATACGTGAATGAAAATTGAACCGTATTCATGTTGACGAATGTGGAAAAGTATGAATGAGGACGAATATCACAATACAAGAGATGTATTTGACCAGTTTCGACTACACCTTCGTCAGAAATACATGAAACAGATCTCTTGTATTAAGAAGATATTTTCATTCATACCTTTCCACATATGAATGAAAAGATATCTTAACAACAGGAGATGTATTTGTCTCTCAATAATCGAAACGAGATGAATAGATCTGCGGTTTAGATATTTATGTTTATGTAGATATTTTTATTTATCTATTTAGGTATCTATATCTATCTATGTACATATTTTTATTTATCTATTTAGATATTCATATTTACTTATTTCGATATCTATATTCATTTATTAAGATATTTATATTTCTCTATTTAGATATTCATATTCATTTATTTAGGTATTTATTTGATTTATTTAGATATCCATATTAATTTTTTAGATATCTATATCTATTTATTTAGATATCTACATTTGGATATCAATTCGAGATCATTCATATCTCTTTCTATCTACACGCACAGCCAAGAAGTATGCGTGTGTGTGTGTGTGTTCGTGCGTGGTGTACAGCGCTAAAAATAGATGCACGAGTTCTATAGTACTCTAAGAAAGCCAAGGAAGTAGGTTACTTGAGAAGATTTATTTTTATTTGTGTTCATTTAATTCCAGTCTTTATGCATACGATGGAACATTTGGTGATTGCGGGACCAGTTTTTTTTCGCTGGTATGTACTATATATTTGTGTGTGTGTTTATACAAATATAATATATATATATATATATATATATATATATATATATATATATATATATGCATGCATGTATGTATGCATCCATCTATGTTTATGTAGATGCACACACACACACACACACATGGATATGTGCGTGTATATATAAACATATCTGTGTGCGTGTTTGTGTGTGTGTGTATGTATCATCTTCATCATCATCATCATCATTAGCTTTATTATAATTATTGTCATTATCATTATCATTATTACTATAGCTATTATCATCATCATTATTATTATTATCATTATTATTATTGGTGGTGGTGTCATTATCATCATCATCAATATAGCTGTTATTCCTGTTGTTATTAACATTATTATTATCAATGCTATTATAAGGATAATGAATATTGCCATCATCACCATAACTACCCCCCCCCCACACACCACACACACTCACACTCACGCACTCACACACGCATACATACACACAGATGTATGTATGTATATATATATAATCATTATTTTTGTTATTATTATAATTTTGTTATTATTATTGTCATTATCATTGTTATCATTATCATTATTGCTATTATTATCATTGTAACTAATATCGTTATTATTATAATTATTAATAGTAGTAGTAATAATAGTAATATTGGTATTAGTATTATCATTATCATCATTATCACTATTTTCACCATTATAGCTGTTGACATTATCAGTCTTATTAGCAATGCTACTGTAATGAAGACGATTGATATAGCCGTCATCACCATCGCCATTCAACCATCGTTATCATAGGGACAAAAAACAGAATCAGAAGAGTAAAATGATCGGCACATTTACAACAGAAAAATACTAAGAGTCGGTACATTAATATGAGTGTTTATTTTACTTAGGAAGCGTTTACAAGCAATAATATGTTTTACTATAGGTTGCGACTTTGCCTAATAAAGAAATTGATATTTAGTAATGTAGGAAGTCCACGTGCAAAACGCAGTATTATTTTTAGACACAAGATACTTCAAATAACTCGCACTGCACTCAGAAGTGTCCAGAAATTTAGATGAAATACAAGGGAGGGTTCTTGAATGATTAGGAAAGCATCTTGTTTTAGTTGTTTAATAAATCTAGAATATTCTGGATAAGGTTTGATAGTACGCTCCCGTGCCTTCTTTTTTTATTTCCCTGCATGACGGCTTTGGCTTCAACTTGTTATTTATAAATATAGTGTTATTTATTCTTCGTATTTAAACTGTTTTAATCATAGAATATTTAATGTTATGCCTAATAATAACTTGTAATCAAAGGAGTAGGTAAAATTTTTATAACAGATACCCCGAACTATAAATAACAAAGCAAGGCACAGCCCAGCCTAACGGACGGAGCAGACTCATGTTTTCATCAGTAAGGAGTCAAGGAGTAGAGTGTTCGGACTGTCTTACTATTATCGTATGATTTGCTGACTTACTTCTCACCACTGGTAAACGATAACTAATAATTCTGGTGTTTCGCCGACTTAATTCTCGCCTGGGTAACTTTTCAAGTGACGATGGCCTTGTTACAGTGCTACAATAAGGGATGTGGACTGAAGTTCAACCCTGAGGAGAATAATGATGGTAAGTAAAGTGACTTTTCATCTATTTTAAGAAACATATCATCCGTTTCCCATTTTCTTAGGTGATTTGGGTAGTTAATATACAGACTCTCTACTAGACTGGTATAGGTGATCTAGAATGACCTACTAATATTATTATGACCGTATCCACCATAGCTTACCGGCAAACTCAAAACTTGGTGAAATCCTCGCTCTTTTTCTAGATTGTTTACTTGTGCTTTGATTTGGGGTTTGATCGAAGCCTATGGCATGATGACAAAAGCCTAGGTTTGAACACTATTTGATCAAGACTGCAAAATTTCAAGAAGCAGAGATTAGTGAATTGACAGACTCTGGCCAATGTCAAAGCCTCAGTCAATGCACAGTGTAGATCCATGAACTTCAAGAAATACTTGTGAGCTTACCTTTACTTTACACTGTATATTGAGGCTGCTACCTGCATCTGTGTATGACCATTACATTAATTTTCTTTGTTTTGGTTTTCTAATTCTTGATAACTGGGAGGTAAATTTTATAAGTACTAGTTCTAGGAACTGGAAATTGAATGTCAGTCATCTGTAATCTGAGAGATAGAGCTTGCATACATCCCAAGGTATATGCGAGATTGGACAGTTTGATGTGCACAGCCGATTTATCGGTCATGCTTCTAAATTTCCAGCTGCGGCTACAGCTGTACCATGTAAATAAGAGTGATCTTTCTCAGATGCATATCTAAGATAGTGATAGTTATTTTCAGTTACCATGGAATGTTCATTAACACAATATAGGTTAAACTTT